AAGAATTCGATTCTTCTTTTTTTTTTTTTTTTTTTTGTTTCTCTTTTCTTTCCTGTTTAGAAGAAGTTTCGATATGTTTGCTTGTGAATGAAATGATTGTTTAAATACTGAAAATATTTTATTTGATTCTTTGAGCAACAATCAATGTGTTGAACTTATTCAAGTCAATAAGTGATATAGTATTTATAATTTATAGAGTGAGTTGAATTGATTTTGTTTGATAGGTTTCTTAAATGATATTATATTGATATCATATTTCTTTAAAAATAATTCAAATAAAAATTATGTCGAGAATTAGAAGAATAAACATGTAGAAATATATAGATTATATCATATTAGATCAAGTAGTGATTTTAAGATGATTGATTAAATCATGTTGAGTGTTTCATTAAAGATATTTTTTATTCTAAGAATAATAGATTGAATTATAGTAATATGCGAATATATAAATATGAAAATTAATTTTTAATTCAATATATAATCATTATTTGCGTTACAGATGAGAGACGATCGAAGGACATCAATGGAAGGCGAGAGACTTAGCAATAACAGTGGGGGAATCATCGACGGAAACGGAAGTCGCCCTCTTTCTCAAACTTCTAGTGAACTAGATACTCTTGGACCACTGCTGCAACCAGTCAAACATCGTGAAAAGGCAAAACTGCAGGTGAATAAATTTCTTTACTTTCTTTTTTAATTTACATTCAATTTTAAATCTAATTTTTTAAAAACTACACTGAAAAATTTAAATTAAATCTTCACAATAATTCAAAGAAATTTTTTTTATTTTGAAATTGTACAAATATTTTATTTCTAGTTCTTTATCATTTAAAGAGCATTTAAAAAGCAATATCTAAGATATTTATGATAAATTATCCATGCATTGCAAATATGTCAAACAATAATGATGTTGATGAATAAAAAGCTTCAGAATAGACTATGTCATTGATCATAAATGACATGTTGAGGGACATTTAAAGTGTGTCAATAACTTTTCCAATTAATGATGCTTGTCAAGATAAACTAAGAGATAGAAATCATTACAGAAGTAATTTTACAACATATGTAAATTTGCATTATGTAAGATATCATTATATTCCTATGAAATCATTATAAAATTAATTTATTCAAATAGTATTCCTATTATAAAAATATATTTTAATCTATATTTATTTTAAATTTATATATTTCATCAATCTAATTTAATAAATTTAAAATTTAAAATGTTAAATAATATTAAATATCTATTTCATGAAATCAGATAAATAATTGTTAACTTTTATAGATCTACGTAAAAACGAAAGTTAATATCTGTAAAAAATATCAAACACTGCTATTTTATAATATATATCTGTCATTGAAACAGATTGGCAATTTTTTAAATCTTGTCAACTAGAACTAATTATACAAACTGTTTAGATAATGACAGAAAATTTGTTTCACAATTTTTTACATTTTGTCATTATAAAATATATATATTTTTACCAAAGAATTAAAAATACATATTGAATTATTAAAAATCTATTTTTTGTCAAAAATGACAATATCTTCCTAAAATAGGCTTTCTTACTTTTTTTTTTTAATTTTGAATTTTTCTATCTGATTTATACCTTCAAAATTATAATCAGAAAATAAATAATAAATTCATGATAAATTAAAATCCATTTCATTATATTTGTCAATCATGGAAAATAAAAAACAGTTCTTTCACCTAAAGTAATTAATTTGACGTAATTATATTTGATAAAAAAATAAGTTAACGCATTTAAATACTTTTGAACGATATTGTATCAGAATATTCATGATTTTAAGTTCTATTTTCGCACGTTTGGATGTGTAACAATATATTATAAGTTTAACTTGACAGTTCGTTTCACGGTTTATAAATTCAATGATTTATGGATGCAGAGGCCGCTCACAAGATACCTTCCCATCAAGTCGGAGTCCCTGGACCTGAGACATCATATCGAGACTGCCGGGCACCAGTTACCCCTGATACACGATGTTACGGTTGATACGACCAGTTGCAGTGGTTACCTGTCGAAAATGAGCAAAAAATTTCATCATTGGAACAAACGATGGTTTGTCTTTGATCGAAAAAGAAAGACACTGTCCTATTACAGCGATAGCACGTCAAGAAAGGCACGCGGAGTGATCTACTTTCAGGTACGATACATAAAATATTGAAATATCATGTTTTTATAGATAAAAAATTTGTTTGAATAGAAAAAACAATGAACATGAAATAGCGAATAAATATAATATCAAACTCTTTTGAAAGAACTCCAAGAAAAAAACAGAAATTTTTGTGATATCTAATATCTTACAATTAATGCTACTTACGATCATTTAGATTAAGAAGTTAAATGAGTTAAATGAAGCTTGTACTCGTAAAAATACATGTAATTAGTGACGAAGGAAAAATAAGAATTAAAATCATTTAAAAATAAATTTAAAAATAAGATAGAAATAATTAATAAAATTATAAATTATATTATATTAGAAATTTAAATAAATTAAAATATCGATCATATTACGATCAAGAGTACATTAAACATATTTTTAAATAAAATCGGATAAAATTTTGGAATCCTAAGAAATTTATTTTTAAATATTTTTACTATTTTCTTAATTTAATTCCTTTGTAATTTTTTACATACCTCTTTTATTTTTTATAATATGTGCCATAAAAATTATACATTAAACATAACCTTCAAATTAATTTTGCACAAAATATTCTTTATATATATATATATATACATTGCTGCAATACAACAATTTTATGTTAAATTAAAATTCAAATATTAAGTTTAAAATTTTATACAAATAAATACAACACAAGATATTTTTTTATGTTTAGTCGATTGAAGAAGTTTATGTGGATCATATGAACACCGTACGCTCACCGCAGCCATCACTGACTTTCATCATCAAAACGTCAACTAGACTATATCATTTAATGGCGCCAAGTCCTGAGGCTATGAGAGTTTGGGTGGACGTCGTCTTCACCGGTGCCGAGGGATATCACGAATTTGATCATGGTATCTGATAAGCTGTTCGTTTCTCATTGAGATTCGTTTTACTCTCGGGAATCGCATGATGAAGTGATTCTTTATCTGTAACCTGTAGGTTCAGAAAACGCTTCGTGACTTTTAAAGACAAAATTTGTTACGAAGGGAACCACGACTGCCTATACTTTCGAGCTGGATTTGACTTGTATATTAAATACATAAAAATCTTTCGAATCTTATAAAGGAAATTAATAATTACATTGGTGCTAGATTGCTCATTTTGAGCAGCTGAAAAAAAATGAATATTGAAAACAATAGTTAAATAGACGATAATAGTGAGCTTTTTAAAATAACTTAAAATTTGATGTCTTAAAATTAATGATGATAATTATTATAAAAAAGAATGAATTGATAAATAATTTATATATTCAACAATGAAATTTAATTAATAATGATTTATATAAACTCATTAAAAAATCGGTATTAATGATTAATGAATTACATCATAATGAGACATTAATCATTGAAGTGTAGGCTAATCACAACTTGATTTTATTTAAATGAAATAAATAAATTTGATAGAATTTATTGTTAAATTTTGTAGATCTAATCTAGTCTTCCAGCATAGATACTTCAAGAATAATGAATTAGTGATCTAACATTTGAAAAAGAAAGTTTTCAACAATAGTTCAACATATATTCTGATATAAATCAAAAAAATAAAATCCCTAAGAAATTGTAAATATATGTCCCATTTTATATTTACTTTGACATTTTCAATAAATATCTTGATATTGCTTAATACCAAGGATTATATGAAATACAAAATCTATTGTGTTGTTTGTATAAAGGAATTTTTTAAATGATATATTCATACATAGTTTTTCATAACTTTAATATTTACATATTGATCTTTCAATCATAAAAATGATCATAGAATTTTTCATGTTTTTTTTTATTAAGTAACAAAGTTTTCTTACATACATGTCATATTAATTTTCATTAGCACAATAATAAATATTTAAGTATCCATATCTATTCATAATACACAAATTATGAATATTCCTTAATATACAATTAAATATACAATTGAAAGTAACTTTTTAATGAATAAATAAGTCTGAATATACTATATTGTATAAATTAACATATCTTAATAAATATTAAAAAGAATTTTATAAATATAAAAATTTTATCAAATTTATAATTTAGAAATATGTTCATAATGTTTCATAAAATTATTGATCAACTGCCCTAAACTTCAAATCAAGGAATATCTGTAATTAATGATATATCTATAGTTAATTATAGATCACTGGATATCTCAATTTTATAACACATTATGTGTATGTAAATAATTATTTGAACACAAAAAAAATTGTGATTGATTGAAATAGTTTATGGATATTTATAATTTTTCTATTTTGTATATCATTGGCTGTTAGAAATATTATTATTATATATTTGATTTGATTATCAATACATATAAATAATTTTGCAAAGGTTAGGTTATTGCATTAAAATAAATTATAAATTGTATTACGTATTATACGTATAATATTTTTGGTTACATTTATGAAAAAAATTAAAATGCTCCTTATTAATAAACTATTTACCTTATTAACAAATGAATAAATACCTGAGTATTTTAGAAATAAGCATCCTGTACAATAGAAACAAAATATACAGTTATGAATATTTTTTAATTTCTAAAAAAATTTCGATTTCTTTAAAAACTAGCTATTAGCATCGATAAAGAAATCGAAACTTTTAAATAAAGGAAAGTAAATAGTGAGACAAGGATAGAGATAGAGTAAAAATACTGCAATCAGCGCCATCTTCAGAGCCGCAAATGAAACACAAAAAAAAGGATAGCAAATAATAAGTAAAGGATAGAGATAGAATAAAAATACTGCAATCAACGCCATCTTTAGAGTGCCGCAAATGAAACATAAAAAGAAAGGATAGCAAATAATAAGTAAAGGATAGAGATAGGTATAAACGTACTTGGCGCCATCTCTTGAGTATTAGAAATATTATTGAAATGAGAATAAGGTAGAAGAATTTAATATTAGCGCCATCTCTGAAAGAAATAGATTTCTAAAAACAGAAATAGTTTTCTAAAATATTCAAGAGATGGCGCTGATATGAAATTCTAACTCTACTTTATCTTGTTTATAAAATAATATCTTTAATACTCAGTAGATGGCGCCACAAGTACCTTTATACCTATCTCTATCCTTTACTTATTATTTGT